TTTGATCGTTACCAGGGGTGAAAGAGGATGGGAGAGGAAGTTGTGGGCTAGAGAGTAACAAGTGTCAATTGAGGTGAAGGGAAAGGCCATATACAGTAGGAAGGAGGTGGGTAAAAACTGATGGAGTTAAGAAGAACTGTTGAAAATAAAGGAACAAAAGCTTCTCATTTTGGTATTTTTATTTAAAGGTTCCTAAGATTTTATAGCAATATTTTTTTACTTACCTTAATACAATAGCCCTCAAATTGATTAAACACCTAGGAGTTAACCTAACCAGGGACATAAAAGGCTTACAAAATAGAAATAATAAAACACTACTACAAGCGACTAAAAGAGACCTATAAAAATGAAAAAGATATCTTGTGTTCATGAATTGGACATTTTAATATGATGAAAATATCAATTACATCTAAAGTGATCTATAGAACCCATGCAATCCCAATACGAATGCCAACATTATTCTTTACTGAAATGGAAATGAATCCTGACCAACTTCAGATGGAAAGAAAAGAAGGCTGACTAGCCAAAGAAATATTGAAGAAAAAGAACAAACAAAACACTCCCTGACATAAAAACATACTACACAGCCATAGTATCCAAAAGGCCACATCTTACTTTGACAACAGACCAATAGACCCAAGGGAACCGAATTAAACCCAACCTTTATGGGCATTGGTTTGTGCCAAGGAGTCAAAGTCCATTCAGTGGGGGCAGAAATACTCTCCTTACTAAACAGTGCTGGCAAAACTGGATATCCACCTGCAAAAGTTAACTAGAACTCATGCTTTGCACCATAACAAAGACTAACTCAAAATGGATCAAAGACCTAAATGTTAAATTTGAACCAAACTATAACATTTCTGGAAGATAACATATGAAGAAAACTATGGGATCTAATCTTGTGTAGATATAGGATAACAAATATTGCCACAAATGTACACATTTAAAACAAAATAGACAAATGAGACTTCTTATGAATTAAAAATGTATGCTCATCAAATGGCTTTTTTTTTAAAAAGTGAGCAGACAATGTACAGACCTGGGGAAACTTCAGAAACAAACTGTTCAATAGGAGTCTGCGGTAGATCCTTTTCCAGTTCACACGTATGATGATTGGGTCTTCACACGTTTGTGTGATATGTTCCTCCCTGGATTCTTGTTACGACGCCGGCACATTAGCCGTCTGACACGTAAAAAAGAAAAAAGAGTCTGTTGTATAAAATCTTTAGAAAACTGCAACAAAAAGATGCCAAACTGGCGAAGGACATTAACAGAACCTTCATCATAAAGGTTCTGCCACTGTCCCCTATCAGCAACCCTCACTGTTTGTGTAAACAGTTTCCAGTCACTTGAGAATTTAATCTGTA